GGGGGGCAGGTCAGTGTGGGGCAGGTGTGCCAGTCTGGGGGGGGGGCAGGTCAGTGTGGGGCAGGTGTGCCAGTGGACGCAGCCCTGTCAGGACACTCACGTTGGCAGGGTTGTGGGACAGTTCAGTTCTCACAGAGTTGGCGGAGGAGCAGTGAGATCCCGTCTTCGTCTCTGGTCCTGACACGCGACGCTTCTTGGACAGCGGCGAGCTGGACATCTGCCAGGAGAGAGAGAAGCTTATTGAGTCTCTGACTCCTTCTCCAGGAACCCAGCATTGCACCTCCACTGGGCTGAACAGGACACTGTACACTGAGCACTGCTGAAAGGGTCACAAATGGCAACTCAAGGTCCCCCCTGGTGCAGACTGACACGCTGCCCTCTGAGCAGCTCGGACAGATCCCGAGAGACCTTCAGCACTGGACAGGTCCCAGCATTCCCTTCACTCAGCAGATGACAATCCAGCACAGGACAGGCAAAGCCAGTGTAAAAGCCTGTCCAGACAGCCCCTGGGACCACAACTCCAGCATTACAGACGGCTACAAGCACAACCAGGGCCAGTGTGGACAGACTCGAGCCACGCAGACCGGACAGTCCCGGTCCAACCCGGCGCCGTGGACTCCAGCTTGTCTGTGTCAGACAGCACGGCCCTCCGATTCTGGCAACAAACACACAGCGCCTCGGTTTCATCTCACCACACACATCTCCCAAAAACTTTCAACCTTTTCCCCGGACCGGCCCGCTGCCCCCCTGAGGGAGTCCAGCCCCGAAGGGCCAGGAGCCGGCAGGAGCTCTGCTGCAGTACCGCTGCTCTTCCGGAACACCAGGGACCTGACCCGCAGGTCCCACGCGTGACTCTGCTGCAGACTCCAGCAGCTCAAGCACACAGCCAGGATCAGCACCAGCTCCTCTCATTCCGGCCCGGCACGGGTATTGGATTGGAGTCTAATCAAGTGATCAATAAAGCCAGCGGACTCCCCGAGCAGGAGCTCCAGCGGGGTCCCCCTCCGATCACACCGGGCACCTGGGGCTGGAGCACCGGCCTCCGCCGAGCCGCAGGTCTTCCGGCCCCGTCCGGGCACAAATAAAAAACGCTGATTCATTCAAAACTACCGGAGGCGAGTCGTCACTGTTGCGGGCGCTGCCGGCACCACCAGGTCCGCGTCCGGCTCAGCCGGGCCGAGCCGAGCCGAGCCCAGCCCAGCCGCCGGATGCCCGGCCCCGGAACCACGCCGGTCTGACAGAAGACCCGCGCCACGACCGGGGCCACCTGGCGCTGCCCGTCTGCGCTCGGAATCACGCCCAGCCACCCACTGTGCCTGGGACCGGGACCAGGCCGCGGTCCGGACGGGCAGTCGGGACGGGAGCGCCGCTCGCGAGGCGCGCGGAGCCGGGGCCGAAACCGAAACCTCCCCGCTCGCGCCCCCGGAAACGCGCCGCGGCCCCGCCGAGCCCCGGGAGCGCCGAGCCGGGCCTACGGGCAGCGCACCGGCGGAAGAGCTCCGACTGCAGCCCAGGCGGAGTGCGGCTCCGCTCGCACCCTGCCGGCGCTCGGGCTGGTCGCGGCCCTTCCTCACCAATATTCCTTCTCGGTCTCCGCTTCAGCTGCTGCAAACCGCTCAGCGAGGCCTGTCTTCTGGGGAGCTACGAGGAGGAGGAGGAGGAGGCGGAGAAGGAGGAAGCGGAGCCGTGCTCGGCGGCGGACAGGGAAGTGTCGAGTCACTCTGCTCTCCGGTCTAGCTAAGGACTTTCTTACTGCAACCGGGAACAAAACCAAAATGGCAGCTCTGGGTCCAGGGGCCGGGTCGCCCGTATTATCCAGCAGCGGGGCGGCGTCGGGGGCTGCGAGCCGCTCATTCGCCCGGGCGCCATGTTTATGCAAACAGGCGCTGAATTATTCATGAGCAGCCGGGCCATGAATACTGGAGCGGGGCTCTCCGGCGAGGAGCTGGGAGCGCAGAGCACAGGTCGCCCCGACCTCCGGTCAGCCAGGCCAGCTGAGCCCCGGCCCCCCGTCCACACAGAAACTAAGCCCTGCGCCTTCTGCCGCGGAGAGCAGAGCAGGGTCCTGTGCCGAGCGACAGCCCCCGGTCTCACACTGAACCAGCCACTGGGAGCAGGGCCGCTGATCCCAGTCTGCATCACGGCCAGCAGCACAGCGGAGCTCCAGCAAGCAGCCTTCTCTCTGACTGGTTTAACAGTTTGCAACCTCTTTTCACATTTCTCATTCTTTCACTCTGGGAAAGGTTTTTTTTTTACAGTTAATAAACTGTGATTTAGATACGCAAAAAATATCAATAAATTGGGGAAGACAGGAAAGCTCAGAAGGGAAATAACTATTCTAGCAAAAAAAGGATTTCTGAGGAACTACAATGGTACCGGCAGACAGGAAACTCACCGTCATCGCCTGCTCCACAGATGAGCCAGCCAAGATAAAGACAACTACTCTGCAGCGCACATCGGCTGAACAGCACAGCTACAGAGCAGACTGGAGTGGCACAAAGCCACTGGTGAAACATCACGCACTGAGCTCTCATCTCCACAGAGACCCGACAGTCACTGGTGGGGCACAAGGAACTCACTGGTGGGGCACAAGGAACACAGCACCTCACTGCCACGGTTTTCAATGTCTCTGATCCAAATCAAGTCGTAGTCAAAAAGGCCCACGCACAGTGTCCAGTCCGGTCCTGGTGGGGTCAGTGTGTCAGCAGTGTGGCCAGTCCGGTCCTGGTGGGGTCAGTGTGTCAGCAGTGTGGCCAGTCCGGTCCTGG